AGAGAGAGAGAGAGAGAGAGAGAGAGAGAGAGAGAGAGAGAGAGAGAGAGAGAGAGAGAGAGAGAGGAAACCACCGCAAGAAAAGTCGCGGTGAGCTGCGAAGGAAAAAGCACATAAAGAAACATACCAGGTAATAAATTGTCCACTTCATATGGCATGACCAAAGCAAGCAACCAAAAAGAAGCTAAAACACCTAGTATTGAGGCAAAACAGACTAGAACATGGAGAGGTGGCAGAAAGCAGCAAAATGTCGGCAAGCAGAAGGTAGTGCACAATTGGGAGATGTATGAAGAGGCACTGAATGACAAGCAACAACAAAGCACCTAGGCTGGAGGGCAGGGGGGAGGCGGGCGGACACAGAAACAAAGTAGGAGAAGGCAAAGACAGTGAGCCAAGAAACAAGCAGTACCCACAAAAGACATAGACATAGGCTAGAGGGCAAGGGTGACGCGCACAGGGAGATAGACAACGTAAGTCAGGAAAAGCAACGACAGCTGATCAAAAGGCAAAAACTGAAAGAAATAAAAACTGATGGTAGCAAGATTGTTTCGTCGGAGTTGCGCCAACTCATTAGGAGGCTGAACCCTTGACAACAATCTGCGCAATCTTCGTATTGGATGCTTTGGGTCATGAACCATTTGACCCTTGTTGACGGCAGACTGTCCCCCATACGAAACACAGCAGCGCGCAGCAACCCAGCGAAGCACAAGGCAACGCTGCAGAGGCAACATGGCTGCTCAATGCCAAAGACGACTGCAAGGAACGACACGGCAAACGAACGAGCAGCACCGTGTAGTGAAGCACAAGGCAACACAAGCAAAGCAACCACACTGCAAGGGACGACAGGGCGAGCCGATAAGCAGCCCAACAACCATGCAGCGAAGCACGAGGTAACACCAACAAGGCAACCAAACTACATCATGATGGCATGCAAGCAACAGACACGGAAGGCACGACCAGCGGATGGGCGGAAATGCAGTGGAGCAGCGAAGTGAAGGCAACATCAACAACACGGCCACACCACACAGCGAACACAGCAACTTGCAGAGAACCACATGCGACGCAAGCGGGACAGGCAGCAAGGCAGCGGTGGAGCGCAGACGAGGCAATCCACACATCCAACACGGAGTAAAGCGGCACATCACCTACTCACATCACGATTGAACAGCACAGACTGTTGGTCCCCACCACCCGTTGAGCCAGGGAGTCAAACTTATTTATGACAGGAAGTCCTTATAATAGAATGACAGTCCAATTTTAAAAAAATCATAAAAACCTCCAGACTTTCATTCCATCTTCAACAAATAGATGTAGTTGGAAGGGAAAATTTATTTTTAGACGGAAACGTGTCAAATAAAACCGAGAATTTTAAAATTTGAATAGCTTTGGAATGACAATTTTTAAAACATATGTTTTTTTATCATTTTTTGAAAAAGCAATGTCTTTTAAACTTTCATTTCTTGTGGGAATTTTTTTGTTGAAGCTCGGCTGCCGTGGTAACACTCTTGTTGACGTAGATGATATCGCCCTTTTTATTTTATTTATTTATTTATTTATTTTATTATTATTTTTTTTAACAAAACACCCCTGCCGTTGACCTTTTTATAGAGTCCCTGCAACTCTGGTTTCGACAGCCCGATAAGAATCTTCTTCTTGTCTTCAATGTACCTTTCCCTTGCCGCCGATCCGCTACCTGCAACCGCCGCCTTCCTTCTAGTAGGGATAACTTTTTCGAAACCTAGGTCTGTCATTCTTGGTTCCGATCAAGTTATCGATCAAATTATCGATCAAGTTATCGAAACCTAGGTCTATCATTCTTGATCGAAACCAAGAATGGTCTCTTCTTCAGCCACCAAAGCAAACCGTTCCGACAATGGTGTCACCCTGGGTTGCGCACTGGCGACTCTCGCACGGAGTCCTGAGGTAGACGAGGGAGCAGGGGTAGATGCAACAGGTGGTGGAGATCGAGATGTCCTTGGACAAGAGGCCGAGGGCTGTGCGGATGAAGGAGGAGGAGGTGGGGGTGGGGGTCTGATTGAGGTGGAGGGTTGACTAGCAGGACGAGGAGCAGCAGATGGAGGTGGTGGTGGATGACATCGAGGTGGGGATGGTCTCCGAAAGATGATGGGTGGGGGGTTGTGGGCTCGTGGTTGAGGAGGTGGGGGAGGGGGAGGACCCGAGGGGGGGGAACTTGAAGGGAATAGGTGGGGGAGCGGGATTCCGAGAGCGAGCAATAGTGTCCTCGAGATCACCGAGGTCCTGACAGATCTGAGTCAGTACCCTCTCAGTCTTGTCCTAAGTGTGCCTTAGTGTGTCCATGTCATCGCCATTAATCGGATCTGCAGACCTTCACTACCTTCGTTCACCTTCTGTTTTACCTTTGCAGGTTCCGCGGGCAATCCTTTCGTCATGTTGTCACTTGACCGCTTAGTACGCCCTTCGTCTCCCAACGCCTGGATCCTGTTGACAATTTCCTTCCGATCGCTTGTTCCCAATCTTCTCCACTAGTTCCGCCAAAATCTTCTTGATGTCTTCGCTGATCTTCGTCAGCAACTCAATCTCAGTATTTGACTTCTGTCCTTGGCCTCCAATGGCCGAGTCGATAACCTCCCTCATCCTAGCGTCTCTTTCAAGTTCGGACGCTTTCTTCTCCTTCTCTAACTTCTTCTTCTCATCTTCCACCTTTTGTCGTTTCTCCCGTTCCTCTTTTGCTTCTGCTCCGCCTCCTGCTTTCGACGCTCCTTCTCTTCTCTCTTCTCTCTTCTCATTGATCAGCTCCTGGAGGAACGCTGCGACCTCTGGGTCCCTTTGCACCACCACCCACCTCCCCTTAAGGATTATTCCGCCATCCGTTGCGATTGACTCCAGTAGACTAGTTACCCACATTGGTTGTGGTAGAAGCAGTAGAATTGGCAGGGAGAGCAGGGGCAGAAGGTAGTGGAGGAGCGGTAGGTAGGGGGCGAGAGTCAGTTGGCCTGGGACATCAGTCTTGACGGTTAGGCGGCGGCATTACTGTCCCAACTGAGTTTTTTTTTTTTTTTTTTTTTTTTTTTCATGCTCGTGTGCCGTACGTGCCCGTGCGCCACATGGATCCCATGCGCTTGTGCGCCGTACGTGCGTGATTGCCTGCGCGGCGTGCGCTTGCTTGTATGCAGAGCAGTCCTGCGTTACCAATGGGGCAAGGGCCAGGGAAGGTCCCCGGGAAAAAAAGGGAAAAAAAATCCGAAAAAGAACTATGTTGTGCAGAAAAATAAATTGAACAACTTTTGCCTCAGGGTACTTGAAAAAAATAAAAAATAAAATAAAAATTGAACAACTTTTGCCTCAGGGTACTACCAGCTGTCCCCTGGCCGGTGTCCTCCGTTGGGGGTTCCCTGAAGGCAATCAAGGTCACCCTGGGCTGAAAAGGCCACCCAATGTCAGATTAGACACAATATTGAATTTACCTGGGCTGGTTAGTCCGATGATAATACCTCAAGGCCATCGCCCTTTTTAAAATTTTAAATTACAAAAAAAAATAAAAAAATTCCTTGCCAAATAAAAATAAAATAAAATAAAATATTCAGCTTTGGCCACGCCGGGCACGTGGTCTCGGGCCAGTCTGGTAGCGTATTAGTGTTAATGGCAGGCTATGGTCCCCGGAATGAGTTTGAAGCACCAGCGGGCGGCTCAGCGTTACCCAAAAAAAAAAAAAAAAAAAAAAAAAAAAAAAAGCACTAGTGGGCAGCCCAGCCTTACAAAAAGAAGCCCTCGTAAAACATGGAGCCGCGGAAAGGCGGCTCAGTGCGCCCATTGGGCAAAAGGCTGGCAGCGCTGACCGACAAAACGCGAGCCGCGGAAAGGCTCAGTGCGCCCATTGGGCAAAAGGCTGGCAGCGCTGACCGACAAAACGCATCTAAAAATGAGGCTTGGATTTAATGGGCTTAGCAGCATCCTCTGTGCTCATCTGGAGACAGCCTACTATCTGGTCCTGAGCTCAGTTGCTGACACCAACTGCAGTGGGGTTAGGGAAGCCGATCCCGTGTTTAAGCGGCGGAATTTCTGGACATGTAAAGTGAAATCCATTGTACTATTCCACAATTTCAGTTTTTTGGGGGGGTGAATTTGAAATAAATGCCCATGAAATTCAGCTCTTTTTAGCCTTTTTCAGATAAGTTCATATCCGAGGAAACCTTTTTTTTTTTTTTTTTTTTTTAACCGGGCCCAGTGCCCATGTCTGAGGAAACCTATTTGCACTCAGCAAAAGAAGAGGTGATCATAAGTTTCAAAATGCGTGAAGTCGAATTTTTTATTTTTTATATTTTACCCCCGTAGGTTGTAAGTACAGAACGTATGTGGCCGTGTACAGGGTTACGTGAGTAAAATATCCGTACATTATGTACGGAAAGGTCCGGTACGTGTATGCACAACAACAGAGGTTTTTTTTCCCCCTCTTCTTTATGAATGGGCCATTGACTTTCTGTTTTGTGGGATGCATAATCATTGATTGAATTTCACTCCTTTTATGTTTTCCTGCTTCGTCCTCCTCTTCTCATTTCAGATTGAGAGTCTAAGGACGGATTATCATCGCAAGAGAGACAACTTCACCAACTATGTGGAAGCCTCGGCACGGTACAAGCTGCTCATGCCCAAGGGAAAACCTGGTGAACAGAAGTAACCAAAACAGAGGAGAGGAGACTCCTGGACTTCAAAGTTTCCCTCCCTTAGTCGTGTCCGTGTCAGTCTCGTCGTTTGAAGTTCCGGCCTCGTTTTTCTTGTGGCGACAAGTTTTGGAGTGCAAGGCTGGGGCCTTGTACTTGTGGTTCGACAAGGAGGAGAGCCACGGAAAGGCAGAGTTCAAAAGCAAGAAGACTGCGGAAATATCCGCCATCGCCAAACCAGGAGGTCCTCGTTACCTAGCAACATCCGTCTGGTCGCATGCTCGGTCGATGTTCCGCAAGGAGATGTGTGTGTGACCAGTCACACAGATAGAGAGAGTGGGATAGAGACAGTAGCATTAGTTCGGAAGTACCGCTCGAAAAGAGTCCTAACGCACAGATCGTCCCTTTGTGCGTTAGCACTCACACAGGTAGGACGCTTTTGTGATAGTGCTATTGGGTGGGTCATCGTCGTGGGAGCTAAGAAACAGCTGGTGTGTGGAGTAATTGTAGTGTAGGCTACCATATCCCTGTAGTGTGATTGATCAGGTTTGTTTTGTGTTTTTGTGTTTTCCTGTTTTCGTCTTTGTGAATGGAGAGCTGTGCTGATGCAATGGGCTGAAGCAATGCAGCAATAGGTTGCTAGTTGGGTGTGCCAAGCCATATTCTTTTCACTGTTTTCCTCGACCTTCCCAATGTTGGCCCCCTTTCTTCCTTCATCCACAACTCCTCCCCTTCATCCCCCCACCTCCACCCGCACCGCCCCTCCGGGCTCACCGTATCCGTCTGTTTTTGTCTGTGCCTGAGAGATAGACACACACACACACACACACACACACACACACACACACACACACACACACACACACACACACACACACACACACACACACACACACAGAGAGGTGGTAATGAATTAATGAGAGGTAGGAGTAATCTTTTGGTTTGTCTGTCAGCAGCCTGAAGGCTGAATTTGGCGTGAGTGGGAGTGTCATGGACTCAGATGTGGAAAATGGGAGTGAAAAGCAGGGGTAAAAGGGGTCTAGGGGTTGGTCATAACAGGTATGACCAGGCATCGGGGATAGGTTCATAAGGGTGGGGGTTGGGCAGAAGAGGTAGCACCCAGTGGAGGGAATAGCACATGCTAACCGCGCTAGGCCATTTCTTTAGAAGCTGATTCGGTCCTGCCTGGCCCAGCAGTAGTACCGCCCGTACTTGGCCTCTTCTATGTCCAGGTTCAGAGGTTCTCTTCCCGCAGTCTAGCGGGTTACCCCACCCATCCTTGCTCTTAGCTTTTCAGGACTTGGGCACGCTGCATCGCTTGTGCTTGTAGGTTTGCCTGCGCATGTTCTGGCCCGTGATTGGTTCTTTCTGTGTTTTAGCAGCAGCAGCATAGGTGGGTATCAAATGTCTCAATTTATGCGTGTCATCCTTGCGCAGGGCCCATACTAATCTTCTCGGAGCATACTCACACTAGGACTTTTTCCACTTCTCTCTAGACGGAATTGCAGTCAGGTTCATCCAGGCCAGGTAAGGGGCCATACTTATCTTCTCTGAGGGTACTCACACTAGGACTTTTTCCACTTCTCTCTAGACGGAATTGCAGTCAGGTTCATCCAGGCCAGGTAGGAAAGCGCAGGGGCCGGGTCGGAAACCGGGGGTATTATGCATCCAGGAGCGTCCTATGTAGTGTGAGTATGCCCTCTGTATTGTTCCAATTTTCACGAATGTCCTAAAGGACTACCAGATGGGTATCAAAGGCAACCCTTGCAGTTGGCAGCAAGCGTTTCTGCCCCCCACTCCTGCAGATTTGTGACAAAGACCCCAACAAAGACCCCAACAAAGACCCCAAAAGCTCCAGCAGGCCACCCAGCTCGCTACCGTCGGGACGCTCATTCAGGCCAGCAGTAGAACAATTGAACACACGGAGTGCGCATGTGAGGGCATACACACAATAGCACTATTTTTCATGTATCGGACTCCATTTACGGACAGCCCCGGATGCATCTGGCCAGAATTCCTCCTCCCAGAAATAAGAAAAAAGTCCTGGTGTGAGTATGTTCTGAGAAGGTCTTGTGAGTCCGGGCCATCGAAGCGGCCACACACATTACAGCCACACAAACTACGGACAGACGATTGGGCCGTAGAAGCAAGCCACACACTACCGGCAACCTGGTGAGTGGGTGACGGTGCCGGGGCACTACCTGGCCAAGTCAGTGAAAGTCACGCACAAACTACGGACAGAAAGGTTCAAACGCGGGCCATCTCCATCTCCATCTCATCGCAGCAAGCTCATCAATATCAAGCAGTTCATCTTCAAGTTCTGTGTGACTCAAACCAAAAGGTCTGTCATCTATCCATCTTGCATCCCATCATCACAATGGACATTGAACCCATCTACTGCGTGGAGCAGATTAGAATCCCGCCTGATCTTGCGGATATTCTCAAAGCTTATGCCAAAGAAGTGATTCGCAACGAGCCAGCCAACATCCTGGAGTTTTCCGCTCACTACTTTGCTCAGCTTGCCAGTGTCACCGAGGTCGCCCTTGCTTTCCTTCCACCAACGTTGGAACAGGTACGAAACGTGTGGACGCAGATGCAGAACACCGAGATGATTACCAAGGACGATATGGCTGCCGTTTGCACCAGCCATGACATCCAGATCGGCGTCTTAGAGAAAGTGATGCGTCTGGGAAACTTCCTCACTGATCTTGTGGATCCAAAGGAGGTCCTTTGTCTGCTTCTGACGACAGTGGGAGATAGCCTGATGTCTGTTCTGGACACGTTTTTCAAAGTCTTCGGAGACGAGGCGCAAAAGATGAGCGTTGAGTTGTTCCTCAAGCTCTTCGGTTTTCTTGCCATACGAGACACCGACATTTCACCCAACTTTCTTGAACGCCTCGCAGCCGATCTAGCGCTGAAGGGGTTAATGGAGATCACATACGATGATATCAGCGACAACGAGTTCATGAAGGAGCTGATGGAGAAGATGGAAAGCCAAAACCCACAGTGAAACCACTGCCTCTTAAGTATCCATGCCCATGTCGATTGATCTCCGTCAGCAGGGACCATATACTGCGGGCATAGTCACCCTATCTGTGTGACTTCCCTGGATGTGTGCATCTGACAGCAATTCTAGTAAGATTCATTCAAGGCAGTCGTGGTGTGAGACGCCGTAATTCGCCTTGGAGATCATTGCCACACAGCCAATTCCATACTGGACTGCCAACCCGACCATATTAGCCTGTTATTCATGCAAACACCATGTTCGGACTCTGCAGAGCGTGCACACATACACTCGCAAACACATACACACAAGTAAACGAGAAAACACACAAGTAAAGAGAGGGACTTAGCTAACACACCCAAGGAAAGCGAGCGAGCAGGAGGGCGAAAGACAGACAGATGGGCAAGCTGATAGACAAATGATGCAAGAGAGAGAGAGAGAGAGAGAGAGAGAGAGAGAGAGAGAGAGAGAGAGAGAGAGAGAGAGAGAGAGAGAGAGAGAGAGAGAGAGAGAG